AAAATTTATTTTTAAATTTAAATTAGAAACAAGGTTGCTTCACAAGTCAGTTCCAGGTCCCTCTCCTTTTCCCTCCCCTCCTCTCGTGCCCTCCCCCCAACCCTCTCCCAATATCCCCTCATTTCCCCAGAGAGGGTGAGGCCCTCCTTGGGGGTGTCCATAGTCTGTCATTTCATCCAGGGCAGGGCCTAGACCCTCCCCTAAGAGTTCAGGGTGAGAGTGCATCTCACATTGTTGGATGGGAGTCCAAAGTTGTATACCTGGGATAAATACTGATCTACTGCCCAAGGCTCAATAGATTACCTAGGCCTCTTCACTGACACCCCCATTCAGGGGTCTTGATTAGTCCCATGCTGGATTCCCAGGCATCAGCATGGGATTCAAGAGTTAACCCTTGCCAGGTCAGCTGTTTCTGGGGGGTTAAACCAGCCCAGTCTTAATCCCTTTGGTCATCAGTCTTCCTCTGTTACTGGCTTTCTTGAGTTCAGCAGCATTATTTGTAATAGCCAGAACTTGGAAGCAACCTAGATGCCCCTCAACCGAAGAGTGGATAGAGAAAATGTGGTACATCTACACAATGGAGTACTATTCAGCAGAAAAAACAATGGAATCCCGAGATTTGCAGGCAAATGGATAACACCAGAAGAAACCATCCTGAGTGAGCTAATGCAGTCACAAAAAGAGAAACTTGGCATGTACTCTCTCATATATGGATTTTAGACATAGATCTGGGGAGTGCCAGCCTACAATCTCATGGCCAGAGAGTCTGGGAAACAGAACCTTCATTCAGTGGCTGATGGAAGAAGATGCAGACTCCCACAGCTAAGCACTGAGCTGAACTCAAGAAAGTCAATTTTCTTTTTATGGAAACTGAGGTTACGTGGTCTTGTTCTCTTGGAATTTTCTCAAAAGCACTCAGTTCCCTCTCACAACTCCATTCCTACACTGTGTTTCAACAGTCTTTAAACAAATGGATCCAGAACACTTCATGCAGAAGTCTGAAACTAAATTTCTCTCTTATTCTGGACAAAAGTTAACTCCAAATGAGGCAAATACTTTAATGCAAGACCTGGAACTCTGATACTACCAATGGAAAATGCAGGCAAAGAGGACTTCCTGAATAAGACTGCAGAGCTGAGGAAAAAATATGCAAAAATCAACAAATGGACTTTCAGCCAATTCAAAAGCTTCTGCAAAGCGAAGGAAAGAGGATAATAAAGAGAAAGCACACAGAGTGGAAGAAATTCTCACCAGCTTTTCTACCAATGTAGTATTAATACCCACAACACAAAAAGAAATCAACAATCAAAACTAAAAGAACAAGTAAAGCAATCACCAAGCAGGCTAGGAAACTGCAAAGGTGGCTCAAAGAACAATCTGCCATAACTGTTCAGCACTATTGGCCACTAGGGAAATGCAAATCAAAATGACATTGAGATTCTATCTCTCCTAGTCAGATAGTTTTAATCAAGAAGGAAAAAAATAGTGAGGATGTGAGGGAAAAGGATCCTCTATACACTGTTAATAGAAAGATAACTTTTTGTTTTTGTGTGTTTTCTCCAAGACAGGGTTTTTCTGTGTAGCCTTGGCTGCCCTGGAACTCACTCTGTAGACCAGGTTGGCCTTGAACCCACAGAGATCTGCCTGCTCTGCCTTCCAAGTGCTGGGATTAAAGACATGCACCACCACAGCACAGCCAGAAAGCTAACTTAATATAGTTACTAAGAAAATCAGTACTAACTAAAGCCAGCCATCACTATGTGATCCAGATATGCTATTCTTTCTCATTTAAACCCCTAATTTTTAACAATGCAAAACTTCTTAGTGAACTGTCCCTCTGTGAATTACAAACACCATTAGATACAAAGTCACCTTTTCTAAATAGCTCTGGGGCATGAATCATGTCCTGGGCATGCTACATCATCATTGTTAAGACATCTGAAACATTTCCATGCCCACAGAAGCTCCCACATGCTCTTCTGTGTCAGCCCCATATTCCTCAGACCTCCACAACCACTGATTATCTTTCGGGAACTATAGATTGGAATTTTATGTAAGTGGAAACAATACACTGTATACCCTGTTATTTTTGTTCACTGCAGTTCTAAGATATGTCTATAAGGCAGAATCAATCTAGAATTCATTTGTTTTCAATGGCAAGTAGTTACTATAAAAATTCCCATACAGTTTGCCAGTTGGTGTTATCCTTGTACATCTCTGGAAATCTCACTAGTTTCAGCTCTCTCCTAAAACCTATAATGACTCCATCTATTTTGATATCTCTCATCCTGCTCTCCTCTATTCTTATCTCAACTCAAACCTTCCTGTCCCCTCCCATGCCTTCTTCCCTCATCTTATCCCCCTCTTTTTTTCCTGGTTCTCTCTCCCCTCCCCCAATGTTCCCAATCTGCTCAGGAGATCTTGACTCCTTCCACTTCTCTGGGATATCATGCATATAGCCCCTCCCTGATGATAAGGTTGATGACTACCTTATATGCCATCCTAAAATCTTCATCCAGTGACTGACAGAAGCAGAGACAGATACCTACAGCTAAACACTGAACTGAATTCCTGGAACCCAGTGACAGAGATGGAGGAGTGATGAGCAAAGTGGTAAAGACTGTGTTGGTGAAACCCACAAAGACAGCTGACTGGACAAGGGTAAGCTCTTGAATCCCAGACTGATGGCTGAGAGGCCTCAGAAATCTCTGTGGCCTTGAGTAGTAAGTAGATCAGTGTGAATTAACTATGGGAGCCCATTCCACATGGAGGAATGCTCTCTCAGCCTGGACACATGGGGAACGGCCTAGGTCCTGCCCTGGATGAAATGACAGACTCTGGAGATCTCCCCAAGGAGGGCCTCACCCTCCTGGGGTAATGATGTGGGGATTGGGTGAGGGGCTAGGGGGACTGGTGGAAGGACAAGGGAGGAGGGGTGGGAGAGGGAGCTGGGATTGACATGTGAAGCATGCATGTTTCTAATTTAAATAAAAACATATTGAGGAAAAAAATTCCTATACAAGTGGGTCCAGGTAGTACAGAAACTCAGTCTACAAGTGGGCTTGATCTCTCAGAGTCCACCCTCTCCAGCTTGTAGCTGGGCCTTTCTCACTGTGGACTCATGTGTTCTGGGTGTCTTAATCTCTTATGCTTACAGTAACACAAATCATGTTGAAGCAGAGTCCATCCTACTGACTTTAACTAGCTTTTTCAGAGTCCCATTTCCAAATGCAGTCACTTCAACAGTACATAATTTTAACAGTACATAGTTTTTACAGTACATAATTCCCTTGACCCTACCAGAGAGCTCCCTGCCAGCTTGCCTACTCCTGCCTTCTGCCCTGTCATCCCCAGCCCATTCTTGTAGTTAGGGGTAGCTAATCTTCGCTGACAACGTGACTGAATTTGGGATTGCCTATGAGACACACTTCTGGGTGTGTCTGTGATGGTGTTTCTAAAGAGGTGTACTGAAGGGGGAAGACCCACCTTGCTGTAGCCAATGATCCCAGACTCAGTAAGAAGAAAGGAAAGAAGGAAGTCAAAAGCATTTGCTAGCATCTACTGCTCTCTGCTTCCTGACTGTGGATTCAATGTAACCAGTCATTTCCTGTTCTTACAACAATACCTTCTCTATTATAAAGGATTATACCTGACCATGAGCAGAAATAAACTCTTTCCTTAAAAAAAAATTCCTATACAAATCATTCTGTGGACATTTTTCCTTCTCGTAGATAATACCTAGAAATTGAGTGGCCATGACAGAGCTGTGTATCTCTCTCTCTCTCTCTCTCTCTCTCTCTCTCTCTCTCTCTCTCTCTCTCTCTCTCTCTCTCTCTCTCTCGTGTGTGTGTGTGATTGAGTCTCTGTGTACATGTTCATGTACATGTAGGTATGTGTACATATATGTGTAAGTATGTGCAGAGGGCAGAGGCTGGTGTTGGATGTATTTCTCTAGTGTTCTACACATTTTTTGAGACATGGTGTTACACTGAACATGGAACTCATGGAATCCATAGATTAGCTGCCCGGCAAGTCTCGGGGATCCTCCAGTTCTGCCTTCCCATCACTCCAACTAAAGACACATGTCACTATGCCAGGCTTTTTACATATTGTGTATAATGAAATATGATCATATATACCCACATTTCCTTCTTTCTAATATTCCCTTCTCCCCCACCTCTGTCTCCTAAGTTCATATCCACTTTATTTTTATGACCCACAAAGTACAACTAGTGTTGCTTATATGTACATTAGAAACCTGTCATTAGGCCTAGATTCTTATGTAGATTTACATCAGATCCCAGGTCTGAGAGCATCCACTGTGCCTGGAAAGGCAGACAGGTACAAATTGGGAGCTTTGAGAGAAATGTCTAATGCACAGTCTTATATAAGCCCACAAATTCCCAGAAGCTCAAAGTGTGGCTAAATATTAACTAAATGAAATAAAATCAGCTTATAAAAACATATTCTGTCTCAGAATCCATTGGGGGGTAAAGAGGTTCAACTTTGTTTTCTTCTCAGGAAGAATTTGAATAGATTACTTCAAGTGATAATCAGATCACAGGAAAGAGAGGAAACTGACTCGCTCAGATTATGCTTTATATAACAATGTGTTACAGTGTCCCCTTAAAGCTTCTACAAGGCAGATAATGATGGCATGAAATTTAAACCAAGACATAAGATTCACAGTGAAGTCTGAATAGCCTTATTTTTCCAAGAAGTGATTGTGAGATTATAAGAACACATGAGGACAATGGAGTGTTACTTTGAGACTCCAGATTCATGAATCCCTCTTATATCTTTCAGCAGTCCACTTCTCTCCAGACTGAACATCCTCCTCCTCTCCTATGGAAATACCTGCCAGTGTGTCCATACCAAGAATTAAGAAAAAGGTGTCTAATCTCAGAGTCTTAAAACCTATGTTACTTCCTGTACTTGTCTGTCATAATGACACCCATACCAAGACCCTTTTAGGAAGTCAGTGTGACTATGTACAATACCTGGTTCCAATATCAAGCCAGCTGCCAGAATCCTTGACCAAGAAGAAAAAATGCTGTAAGATATAATACAATACGACTCCATTAAAAACAAAGACTATTTAGCTTCAATATATAAATATCATTTTCTGCTCAGAACCCACAAGAACATGCTCTTAATTGCAACTTCTGTTTATATTTTTTCTCAGCTTTCAGGTTTGTCTTTACTTCCCTCACATTTATGAATTGTCTTGAAGTTTTACACAACTTTCAATATTAAATGCTTCACTTGCTCCTAAACTGTGTTTTGTAAATCCAGGACAGTTGAAATGTTCAAGTTTTCTCCTGCAGATTCTTTTCCACAGAAATTTCCAGAGAAAATGAGTGATGTCACATTCTGTTGAGATTCATAGTTCCTGACATACTTTCCACAGTAAATAGATAACAAACAGTAAAATGGTATATAAATGCTGTAATAAAATGTAGTTACATAAATTACTTTTCATTTTGTCCTATTAAAATAATGCTGGCTTCTGGTGTGCCCTGTCTCTGCACTTAACTTTAATGCTTTATTTCATGGAAGATTGCCTTCATATATCTTTATTTTGTCTTTTTTATTTTTAAATTTAAATTAAAAACAAGGTTGCTTCACATGTCAATCCCAGCTCCCTTTCCCTCCCCTTCTCCCATGCCCTCCCACCAACCACCCCACCCTCCCTCCTCCAATCCTCACTCCTTTCCCCAGGGAGGGTGAGGCCCTCCATGAGGGGTGTCCATAGATCATCTCGCTAGATGCTGAAAAAGCCTTTGACAAAATCCAATACCCCTTCATGATAAAGGTCTTGGAGAGATCTGGGATAACAGGGACATACTTAAACATAATAAAAGCTATATACAGTAAACCAACAGCCAACATCAAACTAAATGGACAGAAACTCAACGCAATTCCTCTAAATCAGGAACAAAACAAGGCTGTCCACTCTCTCCATACCTTTTCAACATGGTACTTGAAGTTCTAGCTATTGCCATACGACAACAAAGGGGGATCAAGGGGATACAAATTGGGAAGGAAGAGGTCAAACTTTCACTGTTTGCAGACGATATGATAGTTTACAGCAATGACCCAAAGAACTCTACCAGGGAACTCTTACAGCTGATTAACACCTTCAGCAAAGTGGCAGGCTACAAGATCAACTCAAGAAAATCAGTAGCCCTACTATATACAGATGATAAAAGGGCTGAAAGAGAAATCAGAGAAACATCACCCTTTACAATTGCCACAAACAACATAAAATACCTTGGGGTAACGCTAACCAAACAAGTGAAAGACCTGTATCGTAAGAACTTTGAATCTTTAAAGAAAGAAATTAAAGAAGCCCTCAGAAAATGGAAAGATCTCCCATGCTCTTGGATAGGTAGGATCAATGTAGTAAAAATGGCAATCCTGCCAAAAGCAATCTACAGATTCAATGCAATCCCCATTAAAATCCCAGCACAATTCTTCACAGACCTTGAAAGAACAATAATCAATTTTGTATGGAAAAACAAAAGACCCAGGATAGCCAAAACAACCCTGTTCAACAAGGCAACGTCCGGAGGCATCACCATCCCTGACCTCAAGCTCTATTACAGAGCTATAGTCCTGAAAACAGCTTGGTATTGGCACAAAAATAGACAGGTAGACCAATGGAATCGAATTGAAAACCCGGGTATTAACCCACACACATACAAACATCTGATCTTTGACAAAGAAGCTAAAAATATACAATGGAATCAAGAAAGCATCTTCAACAAATGGTGCTGGCAGAATTGGAGACTGGCATGTAGAAGAATGCGGATCGATCCATGTTTATCGCCATGCACAAAACTTAAGTCCAAATGGATCAAAGACCTCAACATAAATCCAGCCACACTGAACCTCTTAGAAGAGAAAGTGGGTGGTACCCTTGAACGAATTGGTACAGGAGACAGCTTCCTGAACATAACACCAGTAGCACAGACAGTGAGATCAACAATTAATAAATGGGACCTGCTGAAACTGAGAAGCTTCTGTAAGGCAAAGGACACAGTCAGCAAGACAAAAAGGCAGCCCACAAAATGGGAAAAACATTCACTAATCCCACATCTGACAGAGGGTTGATCTCCAAAATTTACAAAGAACTCAAGAAGCAAGTTTCCAAAACACCAAAGGACCCTATTAAAAAGTGGGCTGCAGAACTAAATAAAGAGTTTTCAATAGAGGAGTCTAAAATGGCTGAGAGGCACTTGAGAAAGTGCTCAACATCCTTAGCCATCCAGGAAATGCAAATCAAAACAACTCTGAGATACCATCTCACTCCTGTCAGAATGGCTAAAATCAAAAACACCAATGACAATTTATGCTGGAGAGGATGTGGTGAAAGGGGGACTCTCCTCCATTGCTGGTGGGAGTGCCAACTGGTTCAGCCACTTTGGAAATCAGTATGGAGATTCCTCAGAAAAATGGGAATAAACCTACCACAAGACCCAGCAACTCCACTCTTAGGCATATATCCAAAAGATGCCCATTCATACAACAAAGATGTCTGTTCCACTATGTTCATAGCAGCTTTATTTGTAATAGCCAGAACTTGGAAGCAACCTAGATGTCCCTCACCCGAAGAGTGGATAGAGAAAATGTGGTACATCTACACAATGGAGTACTATTCAGCAGAAAAAAATAATGGAATCATGAGATTCGCAGGCAAGTGGATGACACTAGAAGAAACCATCCTGAGTGAGGTAACCCAGTCACAAAAAGAGAAACATGGCATGTACTCTCTCATATATGGATTTTAGACATAGATCTGGGGAGTGCCAGCCTACAATCCTATGGCCAGAGAGTCTGGGAAACAGAAACTTCATTTAGTGGCTGATCGAAGAAGAGGCAGACTCCCTTGGTTAAGTACTGAGCTGAACTCAAGAAAGCCAGTAACAGAGAGGGAGGACTGATGATCAAAGGGATTAAGACTGGGCTGGTTTAACCCCCAGAAACAGCTGACCAGACAAAGGTTAACTCTTGAATTAAGCTGATGCCTGGGAATCCAGCATGGGACTGATCAAGACCCCCTGAATCTGGGTGTCAGTGAGGAGGCCTAGGTAATCTACTGAGCCTTGGGCAGCAGATCAGTACCCATCCCAAATATACACACGGACTTTGGACTCCCATAGAACAATGTGAGGTGCACTCTCACCCTGAACTCTTGGGGAAGGGTCTAGGCCCTGCCCTATATGAAATGACAGACTATGGACACCCCCATTGAGGGCCTCACCCTCCCTGGGGGAATGAGGGGATAACAGGGGGGGGGTTGGGGGGAGGGCACGGGAGGAGGGGAGGGAAAGGGAGAGGGACCTGGAACTGACTTGTGAAGCAACCTCGTTTATTATCTAAATTTAAACTGGAAAATTAAAAAAAAAAAGATTCAATCAAATAAATACAAAGTGATGTTTGTGAATAGTAAGAAATAAAACCACTCAACTCTAATAAAAAAATTTAAAATGTCAAAGATGCAACTGAAACCACATCATTTGATCTACAAACATTCACTGAAGCTGTCTACTATGAATTAATAATAGTCATTGTCAGGTTCTAGAGATAACTTCCTCACAAGACACATAATCTAGTGATGATTCAAATTATTAGGTGTGTAAATACATGTGTGCACAATTGTATTGAGAGATACAGAAACAGAGGAAGGAGAAATCTAAGTGAAAAGTAGGAACCAGACAAAGACAAAATTGGAGAGACAGATGAGGAAATTGTTTCTGGGAAAAGGAAATAGCTTGTTAAACACCAAGAGCCAGATCAAGTTTAGCAGATTCAAAGTGATGCTGCTTTAAGGAAAACAAGGGAGGAGGGATGTAAAACCATGCCAGTCAGTAAAGCTGCGTCAGAAAGAGTTTGGCAACTTAAACTGAGTGACCTGATTGTTCACACAAAACCAACCAGAATCCAGAATTTTTCAGTTCTTGTCTATTCTTGCCTATTTTTCATGCTGTGAACACTGACATGGTTCTAACATTATGTGTGATCAATTTGAGAAATATACAAGATATTTATTTCAGCAAAACACAAATGCTCTCATCTAAATCAAGTGGCAACAATCAGATTTGAGAAATTATTTAGTAGACATATAGTCAGGGATTAATCATACCTTTAAAAAGGCATGGTTCTCAGTGACTGGGAGGTGATTTCTAGGCCTTTGAATGGCTAATGAGGCATTTGCCTGAGGCACTGGTTACCAGTCTGAACATATGATTTATGATGGGATATTTGAACCACATGGTGTGACTTCTACTCTTGAAAGGACTGGAGATTAATGTTCAGTCAAGTACGCCATGTTGAACAAAACCCTGTCCTCACTCCATAGAAGAAAACAGGAGAACTCTGCATAGAAATTCCTTTGGCTGCCAAAACTGAGAATATAACAGGATTCAGCAAGTTCAGTGATGGCTTCTAGAGAATTACTAAACCTGAGAGTAGACATGGGAACTCCCAAATACCCAAAACAGATACATTGTTTTTGTTAACACATTTTATACAAGATTATTTAAAGTTCCTTATCTAGAATTCACTGATTATAGCTACTAACTGATAACATTTCCCAGTTGATAAAGCTGTACTTCATTTTTCCTTCCTTCACTCAGTCATTTTTTTTCTCTTTTTTAATCTGGAAGGACTAAAAAAAATCAATATTTAAATGAGTAATGCATTATCTAAACTTGAAGCTAACTTCTGTTAATCTATGAAAGGTTCATTTCAAACACAAATGAAGAGAATAGCCTGAAAGACCAAGTATAAAATGACAGCTGAATAAATCAAGTAATAAGAAAAAACTGACAGCTTAAAGTTACTGCATTACTAATATAAAAAGTAATGCATCTGTGTAAACTGCTATCACTTAGAACTCAGAATATATATATACATATATATTGTTCCATATACAGAAATTTATTCATATTTCTCCCAACTAAATGGACACAGAACTTAGTTTCTCTATCTGACTTATACCGATATAAGTAAGTGCCTTACCAAAGCCATGATGTCTGATATGACAAGAACAATGAGAAAAAGGCTGAAAAACAAAGGAAAAAAGTTATATACAATGTAATAGGCATACCTTTCAAATACATTAGAACCCAATTGTGAAAAATATCCTCAGGTGACTCAGGAAGATAAAGCAAGACATAAGAATGGAAGGATGGACAGCTCGGCTGCAGATGGATCCCAGTACACTATCCACAACAGAAAACATGTTTACTGCTTGTTTTATTGCTCACAGCCCAAAGCATTCTTAGTCCATCATTTGTCACATAACCTTCAAATCCACATGTTCTTTTATGGCCTCTATCCAAAATGTACAAGGCTTTATGATGAGCTTAGTTATGGAGACTGAGGAACAAGTCAAACAAATGACAATTAGAAAAGTTTGTTTTAAGTCATGTCAAATAATGCTAACATGGCTTTTCTACCTCACTTTATCTAATACATATTTTAAGGAGTGGGTAAGAATAAATGCAGGTAGAACCATCACATTGGTATGCTACACTCAATTTAAGTCTTGGTAGTGTGAGTATGATAAACAACCAGAATGTAAACAAAGCTCCCTTTATACACCAGATTTTTTAAAATTCTAAAGTTTTAGCAACAGATATTTAGCAACAAAATGTCCCTGTAAAGACAGAGACAGGAGGGCAAGACTTGAACAAGAGTTAAGGAAGCAAATAAGCAATGAGGGAAGTCACAGCCTGGCTTCTACAATAGGTTAGGTATAAAAAGAGATTAAAATCTACTGGAATCACTGAGTTGAATGGATTACATATTAAACATAGGAGCCTCTTATACAAAGGGGGAATGTCAATGTCTTTCAAGGGCTTAAAAGAAGATTTTTTTTAAGCCTTTGATATTGCTACCTCTGTATCAGGTCTCTGCATTTAGGATTTCATTGCATTAGTCTCAAGACAGAATTACCACACACAGGCACACAAATACATGTATATAATCACACATGTTAGTGAGCTATTTTTATCCCATTTTCTCCTGTTCTCTTATACAGGGCTTACTTAAAATTCCTTTTGAAAAATTTGTCTACTTGTAGAGATGCAGGAAAGCACATGTTATGTTACTAGTTTTTATTACATCTAAGCAACAGTCAACTGAATGATATTGATAAGGAGTATATGTTTTCACTATTAAATTCATGTAAATACCCTGAAAGATTATTTTCTATTGAACTAGAAATAAGATTTTCACTATTTCTAAACAGTAGAAGGCAATCTTTTTTTTTTTTTAAAATTATGGTGTATACGTACTAGAATGCTAAATCGAGTTTTTTTAGCTTAAGCTCATCAAGAAAACATGCAAATTTATGTTAATACTATTCATCATTTTAGCATTGACTGTGCCAGCTTGATTCACTTATAAAAGTGCTATTTATAAGTGTTTTTCAGAGAATCTCTATGCTGATGAGGTAATTTTATGGGTTAAAGAAAGCAAAACCTTGGTTAACAACTTCTCTTTCAGAATCCTGAATGCTGAAGATGACTGTTCGAGAAATATCTCAAAACTCAGAATCTTTCTCACACATTTGTCAATGTGTATTTTTGCAAATTATTGATATACAGAAAAGTTAATGTCAACCCATACAAAATGAAATAGTGTCGACAAATGTGTTATAATATATTTTTAAAGAAATAAGCCAAAAGAAATTGGAATAATAGCCCTTCATTTTTATAGGTGCCATTATACCTATAACAGACAAATAACTAACTAAAGTATTTAAAATTTATGTTTTCAGAGAATCTTCAGTAGCTTGAGTAAGATTCTAATGTTTTATTGCAGAGAAAGCATATTTGTCTGATAAGGGCCCTAATTAGTCAATTTCCTCTAATGACAACTTAAATGTAAAAGTGGAAAATTTTCTGAATTTTAAAATAAACTTGTGTTACAAATTTTAATAACAATCTACAAATGTTCGATCACATTTGTGAAAATAGGGAAACCCAGGGCTTCGTAAGCATTTATCTTACCCTTTTGATGACAGCTGTGTAGTTATCTGAACTGCTTCAAAAGCACACATCACAAGAACAAATGGAATTAAAATCTGTTTCAAAGAACAACAAATGATGTCAATGGTAACAAACACCTGAAACATGTTAGAAGCATATACTATTTCTGCTTACAGAATGACTTTAAATCTCTCAAATAACTTATACATTACCAGTTGAGAAATGGAGATAAAGCATGAAACCTTCACATGGGACAGAAAAAAATGATTTGAAAACCAACAATAATACACAAAGAATAACAGTAAACATTAACAGTTATTCCAAATTTAAATCTTCAAATTTTGCCCTATTTGACACATTGACAATGTTCATATTTTCAAGAGCATATGAAGGACAATGCCTAAAGCAAGTCAGTTATACAGTGTGCTGATGTGACACATGGATCAATGGACTTAGCTTATTACTAGATACTACAGCACTGTGAACACAACTCAGCTATTTTATTATTGCTCTTTCGAGTTTAAAAATGTTTTTACTTATGATTATAAATTTATACTCAATATACTACATTTGAAGCCAGGCATTGGTGACACACGCCTTTAATTCCAGCACTCGGGAGGCAGAAGCAGGCCGATCTCTGTGAGTTCAAGGCCAGCCTGGTGTACAAAGAGAGTTCCAGGACAGCCTCCAAAACAATATAGAGAAACCCTGTCTTGAAATACCAAAAAAAAAAAAATACATTTGAGAGCATATACAGAAACATAAGATTTTTTTTAGTAATTGAAAGTTCATTATCTAGACCAGTGGCTCTCAACCTTCCTGATGCTGTGAACCCCTTAATATAGTTCCTCATGTTGTAGTGACACCCAACCATAAAATGATTTCATTGCTACTTCATAAATGTAATTTTGCTACTGTTATGAACCATAATGAAATATCTGATATGCAGGATATCTGATATGAAACCTCCAAAGGGGTTGCAACCTACAGGCTGAGAACTACTGATCTAGAGACAATATTATTAGTATTTGTGGAGTATTACTTTCCAATAATCAAGTTTTTAATTTTTTACTCTTTGTACATGCAAACAAGGAAATGCAATCATATACACCATCTACTTCTCCCTCCTACTCCTCCAATATTTCCTAAATACTAAATTTTTATTTCATAAGTTGGGATGGCATATGGAAAAGAAATGATGTTCAAAAATGAATGAGATTCCTCTCAAAAGAAGGACATATGAATACAACAGAGCTTAAGAGGGCATTCACCACAATACTTGTCAGTCAACATAGTTGTTAAGTGCATTATGTTGTTACAGCTTACTGAATTATGACAGAAAATAAATTTGCTAATGTAATTTTTTAAAATTTAGACTAAGCAAAGAAAACCACCATTAAAAAAAAGATGATTAAGGAAGCAATTCAATAGAGAATAGAGACTGACTATAAAAAAATGCCCAATGTCTTTTTACCATTTCTTAAATTACATTTCTATTAGTGTAGTAAAAACATCAGTACAACTGGTACATAAGAGAATATATACCTTCAACAGTTATTTATGTTTCTGAATATTTGAATAAATACATATTAACTATATAAGGTGTGCCAAGTGCTATACAACAGAAAAATTAGTATAAGAAACAGGTTAAGTATTATACAACTATGATATCAATAAGAAATCCCCCACCCTCCAGACTCATGTATTTGAACATTTGGTCCCCAGCTGGTGGCACTGTTCGGAAGGTTATGAACTTTAGGTGGTCAAGTCCTATAGGTACATCACTGGAGCGAGCTTTGAGAGTTTATAGTCTGGCTCCACTTCAGGTTCTCCCTGTTCTTGTGTGCAGATGAAACGTGATCTCTGCTTCCTGACTGCCAGGCTGGATTTATGCTTCCTCTTCTGCGCCATTCTTGTGAACTGTGGTAATATCTTGTTTATATGCTAATAAACCTTGTCTGAAGATCAGAGGGTGGAGCTAGCAACTAGCTAACCATAGAGGTCTGGAGGTCTATACAGACACACAGGAAGTGAGATGGCTAGGTGGACAGAGGAATATAGGCAGGAGGAAACAGGAAGTCAGTCTCTATTCAGTCTAACGATTTCATAGAGATAAGAGCTCTAGTGGTTGGCTGCTCTGTTTCTCTTTCAGCTTTCACCCCCTAATATTTGATTCTGGACTTTCATTATTAGACAGATTAGAACCCGTGTTACATACTGGAGTCCAAGTTAAAGGCATAAATTTATGAAAAAGTCACTTGCCTGTGGCTTTACAGCCATCAGCACAGGCTGGAGCTGCATGCAGGACACCCATTGGATGCACAACCCTACCGGGCTAGGTTCTTTTTTTTTTTTTTTTTTGCCCAAGCCATTAAGCGAGTTTGGGATTTTTCTGTTGTAGCCTCTCTGCAAGAGTCTCCAGCTGTCACCCTAACTCCAGAAGCAGGTAGGCTGCAGATACCACAGGTCTTACCCTTAGGCTCCAGATGCCACAGCACTTACCGGCCCTACACCGGTTGACTCTGCCTTCAGGTAGCTCCTGTCACAGGTGCTTCTTGCACACAATTCCATGTGCATTTTTCAGACAGTCAGCACTCTCCCTCCCTGTCTCCTTCCCTCCCTCCCACCCCCCTCTTCCTTTTCCCTCCTGGGTTTCAGGCTTTCCCTAGACTGCCCTCCTCAGACTGCTGCTCTCAGCTCACGGCCACATGCTAGCAGCTGCACCTGTACTCGGACAGGCTGTACGCCACCTGTGTTCTCTTATCAAACATGCTACACAGCTTTAAGATGCACCATCTTGCTTGGCAGATTTGATGAAACAATTGGGAATTCCTAAAAGGGGTAATTAGTTTTTTTTAAGTTTTTTCTCACATTAAAATATCAGAAATGCTATTACAATGGGGAGATTTAGATCTCTGTATGATAATATGATGGACAGTTGAAAATGGAATAATTAAATGAGAGTATAGCTAACTTAGATGGGGCTGATGTAATGTCAATTATAAACCTTATCAGTTTATTATTTTTGTTTTATTACTAAAAAAGTTGGTTAATATGAATGCTAAGATACAAGTTTTAGAAAAACTTAATAAAACAGATCATAGAGATAGTCAGACCCAACAAAGGAATTTAATGGAAAGCCAATTTCAGTGTTGCATTATAAAGTTAGAGAGGAACAGCCTAAGGTTTTCAAACAACCAACTTTAATTTATCCAGTTACCTTAGGAACTGGCAAATGACAGATATGCCCAAGGCTGTGCAAGCATTAAATGAACTCCTGTGGAAATGTTAGATTTAAGGAGACTGAGTGAAGCAATAGTCTTATATGGTGTGCATTCACCTTTTGTGAAGCAGATGTTAAACTCATGTCCAACTTGTAACAGATTTATCCCTTGAGAGGAGAGACTTGATTAAAACATTCTTGAAACCTGGTCCTTAAAATTGTAATGGTAGACCTGGTGGAAAGATGAAGCTAAGACCGTTGAACAACAAAGCAGGGATAGAGGAATAGGAATCTTCCAAGACCAACTTCCTGGAGAAGGAGATTATGTTGATGTACAATGGCAATCTCTATATAATAACCATACACTAGATTTATGTAGCATAGCAACTTTGAATGCTTGGGACAGAATTGGAGAAGTAGAAAAAAATTGAGTCATTTAATAAAGCTATACAGGGCCCAAAAGAAACCTTCACAGAATTCTTTTTTTTTTTTCTTTTTTTTTTTTTAACGAGACAGGGTTTCTCTGTATTATTTTGGAGGCTGTCGGTCCAGCCTAGCCTCGAACTCACAGAGATCCGCCTGCCTTGGCCTCCCGAGTGCTGGGATTAAAGGCGTGCACCACCACCGCCTGGCCACAGATTTCTTACAAAGACTGATTTAAGCAGTAAATAGAATGATACCTGATTCAGAAGCTTGACAAATAATAATTGAAATTCAGACTTTTGAAATGCTAATGAACAGTGCAAAAGGATAATTAGGCTGTTAACGACAAGACTAGCAACCTGGGAAGAACGGTTCTCATAACTATGATGATACATGGATAAGAAAAGTGATTTTCAGAGATTTGAAGAAAAATGGAAAAGATTTCTGAGTTGATTCTAAAAGGAAAATTGACACTTCGTCAATTAGTAGGAATAGACCCCATAAAACTTGTAATACCTTTACTAATGAGAAAACTGACAAATATGGGCAGACAGTGCACCATGGCAAAAAGCTTGCAGTAATCTTTTGGGAGAGATTAACAACAAATATCCCAAAAGCAAGAGAATCCAATTTATAAAGAGAACTAACTGGATCCCTCCTCACACTGTACAGGAAACACTAATAACTGGAGCCTCTACACTCTATACTGAGGAAAAGCAGGTTACAAATCAGGAAATTTAAGTAAAGTGGCTCAAAGCCCTCATGATTCTATCCATAAGTTAGAATTACATGCGATTCTCATGGTAGCAATGGATTTTATGGAACCTCTCAGCATAGCTACTGATTCACAATATAAAGAGCTGTTTTGCATATTGAAACTGTTGAATTTATACAGAATTGACCTTGCTATATTCAGTTACAAGAAATAATCAGGAATAAGAATCATCATACTTACACACACACACACACACACACACACACACACACACACACACACACACACACACGATCCCATACATGTCTGCCAGGCCCTCTAGCACAAGGTAATGATAAAATCAACCAACTATTGATAGGAAATGTGCTGGAGGCCTCAGAAATTCATTGAAAAAAATCATGTCACTAGCAATGGTCTGAAAAAATATAAGGAAATGTATATTTGCTCTTTATACAAAAAAAACTCCACTACCAGCAGGAAGTAACTCAAAGGAATGAAATTTGGGAGATGGATGTGCTCCATTTTGTAGAATTTGGAAAATTAAATTATTTACACTACAGCATTGATACCTATCCAGGATTTTAATGGGGCAACTGTTTTGAGTTCAAAAAGGATGATAAGGTAATTACACATTTGCTAGTAGTTATGGCCATCATGGGGACACCTATACAAATTAAGACTGATAATGCTCCAGCATATGTCTCTAGTAAAATGAAAGTTTTCTTTCTTATTATAATATAAAGCACACAACCCTACATGGCAGGCAGCTATAGAAAGATCAAATTGAACTCTAAAGGATATGCTAAATAAACAAGGGAATAAAAACCTCAGAAACAGATTGCATAATGCTTTATGAACTATTGGATAAAAGAAAAAACTATAGAATTAAATCATCCTGTATACTTTAAATGATGTGTTGAGCTCAGAATGGAAACCAAGATATGGTTTACATTGTGAACGTGTTTTGCTTTGCTTTTGTTTCCACAGAAGAAAATCTATAGATACCATCAAAATTGATAAGGATTAGAATTTAACAAGAGACAACCGCCCCCCATGTCCAGCTTGGTTACAAGAGGTGATAATCCAACAGCATGGCCATTCAATCAAAACTAACTTACTTATTTATTTTTTTTGCTGTAATGGATAGTTGTTTTTTTTTTTTTCTCTTGTTTCATATGTCTATCCCAGCTGCCTCTCCCTCCCCTCCTCCTTCTCCCTCCTCACCATGTCCCCCAGTCCCCCACCCAATCTCCAGTCTGATCCGCAAGGAGGGTGAAGCACTCCATGGTGGATCTCTAATAACTGTCATTTCATCCAGGGCAGGGCCTAGGCCCTCCCCCAACAGTTCTGGCTGAGAGAGACTCCCATATTGTGGCATGGGCACTCAATGTCTATTTGTACGCCAGGGATGAATACTACCCAAGGCTCCACAGATTACCTAGGCCTCCTCACTGACACCTACATTCAGGGGGTCTGGTCTGGGTCAGTCCCATGCTTTCCACACAGCCATCAATCTGTAGTTCAAGAGCTCCCCCTAGTTCAGGTCAGCTGATCCTGTGGGCTAAACCAGCCCACTCTTTACAACTTTTCCCATCAGTTCTCTCTTTCTGACACTGGATTCCAGGAGTTCAGTTCAGTGTTTGCCTGTGGGTATCTGCCTATGCTTTCATCAGTCGCTGGAGAAGGTTCTGTTTCCTAGACTCGCTGGTACTCCCCTGATTCATGACTAAAATTCCTATATGAGTGAGTACATACCATGTTTCTCTTTTTGTGACTGGGTTACCTCACTCAGGATGGTTTCTTCTAGTGCCGTCCATTTGCCTGCAAATTTCAAGATTCCATTGTTTTTTTCCACTGAATAGTACTCCATTGTGTGAATGTACCACATTTTCTCTATCCACTCTTCAGTTGTGGGGCATCTAGGTTGCTTCCAAGTTCTGGCTATTACAAATAATGCTGCTATGAACACAGTGGAACAAACATCCTTGTTGTATGAATGTGCATCTTTTGGGTATATGTCTAAGAGTGGAATTGCTGGGTCTTGTGGTAGACTGATTCCTATTTTCCTGAGGAATCTCCATACTGATTTCCATAGTAGATGTACAAGTCGGTATTCCCACCAGCAGTGTAGGAGTGCTCCCCTTTCTCTACATCCTCTTTAGCTACGTTGCACTTTTGATCATTACTCTCTTGCAGTCTTTAATTATCTCAGACATTTCTTAGGCTAACAGAATCCTTATTCTTTTATACTCCAAGTGTCTTAAGAATAAAGCAAAGATTAGCAATATGTGGAAGCAGGGGTTTCAGGGTTGCCTCCATCAGCACCAAGTTTCAAAGAGTACCTCTGTTACAATGACTTTACAATCTTAATGATACACAACCTTAATATCAAAATCTTTAAACAAATCATTCAATGCAAGTAATAAAATCAGAAAACTAACCTTCCACATCATGAGAGCTCCCATCATGAAAGGACTAAACACAGTCAGAAAGCAATACACGGAGGCAAGGTCAAAGCTAGACAACGATAAAAGAAAGTGTACAGATTTTAGAATTCACACTGTGACTTTAAAAAAATATTCTATTAAAAGGATGCTCAGTAGTTCTCTGAAACCAACTCTTACTAAAACAGTCATACTAGAATAAACAAATAGATCTGTGTGCTAATCTCCTTTAGTATCATATTATACTCCAGCATACTATTTTATTGAATATAAAAACAAGGTAAAGTGACTGGAGAGATGGTTCAGCAGTTAGGAGCACTTGATGGTCTTCTAAAGGACTCAAGCCATCAGGTGGCTCACAATTGCCTGTTACTGACACTCTTTTGGCCTGAATATGCACGCACTGCATGCACATGCATGCACACACACACACACACACACACACACACACACACACACACGTAAGTAAATGCAAAAAGTACCTGTTAATAGAAGCTATATTTCCAGTTCCAAAAAATGCAGTCACTAAAAAGAAAACCTATACACAGTTAAGGAAATGCCTAAATAAGAATTCACAAAATTTCTTTCCAAATCATTTATTCTTGTTTGTCAAGACAAGCTTGCAAGTAGTGACTAACCTTGGTTTACAAATGATAGATTTGTTAAGTCTACATCCAAACCAAGCATTTTCTTGATGACTTGAGTCAGATCACCTAGCAAAGGGCACTCCCTAGAATGAAGGGAAGGACATGAATTCAAGCCAATTTTCCTTTGTCCTTCAGCCATAGCTTGCCTACCTGGTGTTTGGTACATTTTTTTTTTTCATTTAGGAAAACAAACAATTCTACCACAAAACAATTTTCATTTTTATCTGCTTAATCACCAACTGTTTGAAAGTGATGGTTGAGTGCCATCCTGGTGAACACGTTACAAAGATCTGAAAACTGAAGCAATGCCCTGAAAACCATTAGGTGTGTGGAGTTGCTGGTGACTCTTGAGAAAGCTATTTTCCTCTTCTCAAGCGTCAACAGGATGAACTAACTGTGGTTGTTGCTTTCGATTTTTTCAGAAGGATGCAGGCCTAAAACACCAGACATTTTCAGCTACAAGATGGCTTTATTTACATATGCTTATTACATGTGAAACTCAGAAGCTCTGCAAAAAACCCAAAAAGAAACAAAATATACTTTAGAATAGCTCAACTTAATAGAGAATGCTGAACATTTTTAACACTTATTGAACTATTTTTAAATATTATTATTGAGTGTGTGTGTGTGTGTGTGTGTGTGTGTGTGTGTGTGTGTGTGAGTTAAAGGACATTTTTGGAGAGTTGATTCTCTCCTTCCACAGTGGGTTCTGAGAATTAAACCCAGATCATCAGGTTTATACAGTGTATTAGCTACTTTCTATTGCTGTGATACTGCCCAAAGGAACTTGAGGAGGAAAGGATTTATTTGATTTACAAATTCAGATCACAGTGTATCATTGTAGTAAGCTAAGGCAGAAACCTGGAAGCAAGAACTAAAGCAGAAACCACAGAGAAATGCTGATTACTGACTTGCTAATCATGGCTTGCTCAGCCTGCTTTCCTTATACAATCAGGACTACCAGCCCAAGGGCAGCGCCACAACAGTGGACTGGGGCCTTACACATCAACCATTCATAAAAAAGTATCTGACATGCTTACCCACAGGCCAATCTGATGGAGACAATTCCTAAGCTGGGTTCCCTCTTTCCACATGACTCTAGTTTATGCCAAGTTGACCAAAATTAACCAGCACACATAGATTAGTGTTTTTGCCTGCAGAACCATCTTACTGGCTCCATTTCTTGAACTCTGTTGGTGTCCAGAACATACTGATATTTAAGTACTTAAAATGAGGCCTGACTTAATGAAAGCCCTTGTTAAAATGAGCCCTTTTATCATCACACATGTGCACAGAGATTAGAAACAGAGACCCTGCAAGAGAAATCATGACAGCTTTTAGTGTAAAGGCAGCATCCCAGTTGGTGATCTGAGCTGTAAAGGTATCCATGCAGCCATTGTCTGAACTCAACACCTAACCAACCAGTAGTTATTATCTGGCACCTGTCTTAAACAGAGGTACATACTAAGAACATACATGTGCATAAAATAGTCTTAAAGTGATTTAAACATGCTGGTAAAATTGGCAGACATACTAGGAAAATAAGTTGTATGATGAAACAGTAAATAGGTGTGATAAGAGCTAATGGCTTATCAAAAGACACAGGAAAAATGAAGGAAGGAATATATACTAATAGCATGTTAACAAAAACTTGAACTTTAAATTTTTTTGGGAAAATGATTTGGGAAGCAAACAGTTCAGGTTAGTGGCATAATGAAAATCCATGTGATTTATGATACACAAGCATAGGAAGACAAAGGCAGGAGGCTGCCTAGAGGGCTGGTTCAGTAGTCCACATCAGAGGAAGGAGGATGTCTGGGGATCTGACTTAGTAGTCCATGACAGAGTCAGGAGGATATCTGACTCAGTCGTCCATGTCACAGAGACTGTCTATGGAGCTACTTTGGATAAGAGCACCACCAGCTGTTAGTCAGTTCACACAGGTATCTGGTGATTCCAAGGAAAATGGTGGAAAGAGGCCTATCAAAGTCAGAGCCAGGGAAGTAGGTGTCAGAGGTATCTCCCAGTACTAGAGGAAAAGCTGTTACTCAGTAGATATAGGAAGCAGGCTACAGAGGGTGGCTACGAAAACCATGGTTCAGGATCATGCAACGGAAGAAAAGGGAAACAGTGATGAAAAAAATGAAGGAAAGGAAATGAGCCATAGAAAACAGTAGAATGGTATTTGGAAGGACCAGGAAGAGGGGCAACAAAGATTTGGTCAAAGACCCAAACTTTCAATTATCTATGATAAATAAGATCTAGACAGCTAAGGTTCAGTATGGTAATACAGAAACTGTATTGTGTTAAAGTCAGTTAAGACAGAAGATTTTAATTATAATCACAAGAAGAGGGAGGGGAGCACAGCAGGGAAAGAGGAAGGGTGGGAAGGAAATGTAAAGGAGGAAGGAAAGGAGAGAGTAAAGAAATGCAAACAGCAGCTGAGTAGATGAGGATGTGTCCATTACTTTGTGTGATCGCTTGCTGTGTTAGGCAAGGCAACAAGCTATACATCTTCAGTGTCTATAATTTTTACCAATTTTACCTCAGTAAAGCTGAAAATTTAGGTAACTGTTTCAATGGAGTAAGTCCCTATGAATTTCTTGCAGCTAGCCAGTAGATCTTCACCATGGCATCTTTCAAGCTTGTAATACCTCTGATGGGATCCAAAGCCCACCCGTGAGACAACCCTAACCCTAACAAGCCTCAGGGAAAGCACACAAGATACAAACTCATAAAGGGTTTCTTCTAGGGCCAGAGAAATTAAACAGGAGTTAAAAGCTGAAAGGAGAATTCAGTTGCAGCTTCAACATTTTGTTTTTAAGGAATATGTGCATATGTGATAAAATCTTAACTGCTAAGACACTGAATGGTGAGAACACACACACATTTGCAACATCATTTTCTATAGCTAAAAAAGTATTTATTTGTTTGTACTACAAGGAGTTGAGCCCAGGAATTGGGGCAAGCTAAGCAAGCATTCTACCACTGATCTAAATGACTAGCATCTGATTCTATCCCTGATCTAAATGCCTAGCATCTGCCCTCTCCAAATTTTGATGACAGCTGTATATGCGAGAAAACTCAAGTTGAGAAGATAGTTAACTGGCCTCTAATAAAATACCACAATTAAGTAACAAGTAGAAATACCTTTGATATCATCTTACTCTATTAAAATGGAGTTGGCAGATCTTACAAGTCCCAACAAAGGATACAAGGAAAAAGGCCCTACGGATGTCATCCAGATTAAGCAGTCGCAACTGAGCTATATCAGTGTTATAGGTGAACTGCATGCTGGTGAACTGGAGGGTAAGAAGAAATACATTAATACATATTAATATACAACAGTATTTAGCTTACTGACAAATTTAAAAATGGTAAGAATTTATACTGTGCCCACATAAAAAACAAATTAAAAAAAGACCCACAACAGTGAAATAGCATAATTACATCTTAATACAATCCATTGGAGGCAAAATATGTTAATAGCATGCTAAATGGAGTTGTGGTATTATCACATGTTATTAAAGTAAGAGTTGGTCTTTTTTCCTACTCTGTATAAGTTATTTCATTTTCAGATCGCTATTCAGAGACCTCATTTATCAGCTTTCTTGTCTTCTTAAATCAGTTATATAATATTAGAAAGATGGCACAAAGTAAACATTTATTCCTTTATTTGTTCTCTAGTTCTATCTGCAGATAAATTATTCTTTTTCCTTATCAACGAAAAATACTTCTGTCTTTGTAAAAGGGAAAGTCACTCCAATAAACAATGTCAAAAGAGAGGTGAAAGGAGAACTCTCCCGATTGTAATACCCATGCTTTGGCATCCTTTCAAAAAACAATAACAAAAAGCCTTATTTCAGTTAAAAGTAGAATTTTAAAGTGATGCAGTGGTCTCCCCTCTCCTGAAATACTACCAAGGACAATTCTTGACTTTTTACACACACACACACACACACACACACACACACACACACACACACACACACACACACACAGCTGCTTCTGTACTGAAAAGTTATTCTGAATGAGCAATGCCTCTCGGAAGACAGCAGCACCTAGGTAAGGGCAGTGGTGTACAAGTCTTTCTTCACTTGGCCTTAGTGTTCTGTCACTGGAATGTTCTGTCACCAGTTTCTCAGATTTACCTTAGTTCTAAACAGATGAGACATCATATAACTCTCTAACTCCTCATGATGACGACATTCTTTAAAAGTGGTTGGCTTTTTTCCAGTTCTAAACATAGCATAGTAGGCAAATTGTCGAAGATATAGTTAGAGGCCACAGTCAGTAAGATGACAGAATAAGCACCTTGGATTAGCATGGCTAGAGAAACAACAAGGGGTACTTAAATATCACCTTATGATCGAGTGAACGGTCAGAAGGGAAAACTGGAGGTGAAAACAGGTGTGTGCCTGTGCTGGGGGGGGGGGGGCAAGTATGTAGTGCGTATGCCACAGCATGTATGTGGAGGTCTTGGCTCTCTCTTACCACTTGATCTCAGATCATCAAGTGTGGTAGCCAAGTGCCAAGCACTTTTATCCATTGAGATGTATTTCTCACCCTATATTGATACTTCTATTTGATTCTTAATAATTTTCTGTGAAAAGCCCAACACATACATGTCATACAAAACTGTACAATTGCGTTTTGTTATAAATGAAAATTTCCCTTATGTGTTAATTGTTTACCTTAATTATTAATACCAAGTGAAATTTGCTAAGGTTTTTAAATGCTGGAATTCTGGGTAGAAAGAATGTTTGATGAAATAACACTAATATTCTTGTAGCAAAGAGAATATTTTAAAGCAAAGCGGCAATAGTTTGGACAGCTACCTTCTGTTTACAGGAAACACCAGGCTGTTGCAGGGTCTCTTGTTCCATGTGTATCCAGACAAACATCAAGCAGGACAATACTAATGGAAAGAGAGCTTCATACCTAAGAGGCAGGAAGTGAAAGCACAGACATGAAAAAATTAACAGAGAAAGATGAAAATCAAAACCAGAAATCATTCTTTAAACAATTGTGATGGGGGTTGGAGAGATGCCTCAGCAGTCAAAAGCAATTGCTGTTCTTAAGGGAGACCCAGTTGTGGTTACCAGCACCCACGTAATGGCTTACAATGGTCTGTGGCACCAGTTCCAAAGGATCCATTGCCCTCTTCTGGTCTCTGTAGGCACCAGGCACACACATAGTGCATAAATGTGAAGACAATATAGCCATATACATAAAATAAAAATGAAATAAACCTTAAAAAATAATTGCAGTAATATTCAAAACCTTTTCAATTTTCCAGACAAGGTTAGGGAAAGAAAAATATATTTAAATTTGAACTTTAATGGAATCTTTTTTTGAACTTCATTAAATCTTGAGATAACATGTTTAAAACAGTGGAAAAATTAATAAAATACTCCTAAAGAAGGTGACAGTTATTCATAAAAGAAATAAAATGCTAAGATAAATGTAAAAAGATAACGCTGTAGGTATAATCACTAATATATGTGTAAGAGCAAGACAAATATCCCAAACTTCCTAAAAGAAAGTTTGATATAGGACTACAAACCCCTAACGAGAAAATAAAAGGGTCAATAAATGCATTAAAGTATGTCTGGCTATATCAATAACTGAGATGAAAAATCAACACAAAAACAAGATGCCATTATTTCCTTATCATGTTTGTCAACATAAAAACACAGTGTTGACAAGAGTACCCTGAAATAGACTCTCACACTCTGTATATAGAAACACACTCTACAGTGGAAGGCTATCTAATATTATGCATCAAAGATATAAAAACACTCATAAACCACAACCTAAGAACATCAATTCTAAAAAAAATCAGACAAGTGCTCTATGAGTCTTACTATGAAGATGTTTACAGAGGGGGCAATTAAGGGGTGAAGGCCTGGCATGCTCACAGGACAGTTACTATGAATGTGCCTGTACCTCTGTAAGATGGAGGGCAGTAAACACAAAACAAAAAAGAACTACTCAAGGTAACATAGTACCAAGCCTTTTCCAAACTGTTTCTGTTCTAGCCTGGAGTAAGTACTCCACTTCCATGGTCCCCGAATGCTCTATCGAAGGCTTTGATCATACCAAAACATTTATACACCTCCTACTTTGCAAACAGAGTTTGGCTACTATGCAACATGGTTCTGAAAGAATAAATTTACTGGAAGCTGCAAAAAAAGCCAAAACAAAACAAAAACAAAAAAACAAGAACATAATGTAACCTTGCTTCACTTTTTACTACAGAACTCTAGGCCCTTCGACACTATTTCCTGTTATGCCCAAAGTCTGGATCCCGAAGTATCACCTAGAGACAGAATCCGATGCAAAAGCAGAATCTTTATATTGATAGTTAAATTAGGTCTCTCTATCCTACCCAAGCAGGAGCAACACAGCAGCAGCAGAGCAGGAGAGACCTAGAGCAGCGCAAGGTGGTGGTTTTTATAGTGTCCAGGCAAAAAGGGGCGGGCTTGAGGAATTTCAAATTGGTATAGCTACAGACTTGGGATTGGCTCAAAATCAGTATCTGGGCTGAGCTGATTGGTTACTTGGTCTTGCATGCTGAGTACACATGAGGTCCTGGCTTCATCCCCAGCACCACACAAACTAAGGGTAGCAACCCAGGCCTGTAAACCCAGCACTCAGGAGGTAGAGGTAGAAAGATCAAAAAAGTTCAAGGACATCCTTGGCTATCTAATGAATTTGAGGCCCACCTGGGCTACCTGAGACTTTGACTCAAATACAAACAAATAGTAATATACATATATAATGTATATGTAATATATAACATATATTATAAATATTATATACATACATATAGGAACAGCTAAGTAAATCACAAAATATTAGACATCTTGTAAAATGGTAAAGGAAGCCAACTGATCTACATGAGAAAATATTTTTAACTTAAGTAGAAAAAAAGATTGAAAATACTATATATACTATGATTAATTAGAAGCTGAAAGTTGGAAAGAAACACACCACAGACTCAATAGGATGGATAATCATTTACTCCTTTACCCCATCTTATCAGAATGTGGTGATACTATTGTTGTTACAATGAATTAAAGCACTGAAAAAACTGGAATGCCTATATCCTGGCCATTCTTTAAGGTTTTGTCCAATTTCCACATGAGGCTGGATGCCACCAACCCAGTTCCACTACTCAAAGTCTATTCAGTTCCTAGCCAATAAATCAACTTTCCAGTTTTTACTGTAACATTGCAAAACACAATTCTTATTTTATAGCCTCAGCGGCTCCACTGCAGGCCTGTATTACAGTTAATAGTTCTTTTGGTTTGTCTGCTTAGTGCTCAGGATGCTGGAAATGTAAAAGGAAAGGAAAGGAAAGGAAAGGAAAGGAAAGGAAAGGAAAGGAAAGGAAAGGAAAGGAAAGGAAAGGAAAGGAAAGGAAAGGAAAGGAAAGGAAAGGAAAGGAAAGGAAAGGAAAGGAAAGGAAAGGAAAGTTAAACATGATTAATCTGATCAAGGTGTACACTCTAGGAAAAGGCAGATGATGACTTGGAAAATATTTATTTTTATTTTCTATGTATGAGTATTTTGCCTGCATGAACATCTGTGTACTGCATGCATTTTTGGCATGCAAAGAGTCCAGAGGAGGGCATTGAATGCCCTGGAAGTGCAGTTACAGAAGGTTGTTAGTGCCATATAGATTCTGGGAACTAAACCTGGATCCTCTGAAAAAGCAACCAGTGCTGTTAAGTGCCCAACCATCTATGCAGCCCCCATGGAACCATGCCTTTTAGAAACAGTTTCAGCTGTATGTGAGAGTCATTCTTTCTCATAATAAACAGTCATAAAACACTCAGTATTTCAGAACTCTGGTTCTTTCTAAAATGCAGGAAAGATCAGATAGAAACAGTCCTCCTAAGAGGCTTTATCTCCATGCAACTTTTCATATACAGCCTGCAAATACAAATTAATATGGAAAGACCAATAAAATGTCACTGTGGAATTGAAGAGAATGTAATGATACACTAAACCCTATGTTGCAATCTGCTAGTTTGGCCTCTGTGTAGATTTTAATGGGCTGAAAATGCATTTAGATCTGTATTACATTTTGCTAAGCAAAAGAGGGAAATATTGGGGAGTCCAGGGAAGCAGCAGTTCTTCCAGCAGCATCAGGTAAACAGGCCGGCTTCCTGGCCTGTGCTCCAGGGCCTGCAGATCGCCTGGGACCTGCACAGAGCTCCCAATCCCGGCAGGAGCCAAGCACCCCAGACTCCGGATCTTTGCTCACACCAACGAGACCAGGAAAGGAGAGGAGGCTGGGAGTCCAGGGAAGCGGCGGTTCTTCCAGCAGCATCAGATAAACAGGCCGGCTTCCCGGCCTGTGCTCCAGTGCCTGCAGATCGCCTGGGACCTGCACAGAGCTCCCAATCCCGGCGGGAGCCAAGCACCCAGACCCCAGGTCTTCTCTCCCACCAACGAGACCAGGAAACCAGAGGACCCAGGGAGACCAGGGGAGTAGCTGTTCTGGATCAAGTACAACAGGACCCAGCATAGGGTCCAGGGGACCAGGTAAGAGGATAAGCGCCCCAGATTCTTGTTCTTCTTCTCCACCCACGGGACCAGCATTCGGACAAGGAATAGAAGAACCACCAGATTATTGGACTTGCTAGCACCCACCAAAAGGGAACTCTGGTCCCCAGACCAGTAAGGGGCTCTTTCTGCACCCACTAGAAGAAGAGATGGGAAAGAGACAATACAAAAACAGAGTCAGCAACAGAAAAACAAATATGACACCACCAGATTCTAGAGACTCCACACCAGCAAGACCCCAACATTCCAATGCAAACGAAGCAGAAGAGAACGACCTTAAAAGCACTTTCATGAAAATGATAGAGGCCCTAAAAGAGGATATTGGAAAATCCCTCAAAGAAATGGAAGAAAAAACAAACCAAAAAATGCAAGAATTGGAAGAAAAAACAAACCAAAAAAGGCAGAAAATGGAAGAAGAAATGAAGCAAAAAATGCAAGAAATGGAAGAAAAAACAAAGCAAAAAATGCAAGAATTGGAAGAAGAATCATACCAAAAAAGGCAGGAAATGGAAGAAGAAACAAAGCAAAAAATGCAAGAAATGGTAGAAAAAACAAAGCAAAAAATGAAAAAAATGGAAGAAGAAACAAACCAAAAAAGGCAGGAAATGGAAGAAGAAACAAAGCACAAAATGCGAGAAATGGAACAAAAAACAAATCAAAAAATGCAAGAAATGGAAGAAAGAACAAACCAAAAAATTCATAAAAGGCAACAAACGGACAAACAGATAAACAGAAAATTGCAAGAAGCAATGCAAACACTGCAAGTGTTGAAAACTGAAATAGAGTCATTAAAAAAAACACAATCTGAAGAAAGGCAGAAAATAGAAAAGCTGGACAAACAGACAGGCACTACCAATACAAGCATTACCAACAGAATAGAAGAGATGGAAGAGAGAATCTCAAGTGTTGAAGATACACTAGGAGAAATGGATTTATCAACCAAAGAAAACCTTAAATCCAACAAATCCTTAACACAAAACATCCAGGAAATATGGGACACCATGAAAAGACCAAACCTAAGAATAATAGGTATAGAAGAAGGAGAAGAAATCCACCTCAAAGGGGCAGAAGGCATATTCAACAAAATCATAGAAGAAAACTTTCCCAACCTTAAGAAAGACATGCCAATGAAGGTACAAGAAGCCTACAGAACACCAAATAGAGTGGACCACAAAAAAAATCCCTCGCCACATAATAATCAAGACCCCAAACATACAGAATAAAGAAAGAATATTAAGAGCAGCTAAGGAAAAAGGTCAAGTAACATATAAAGGCAGACCTATCAGAATTACACCTGATTTCTCCATGGAAACGCTGAAAGCCAGAAGGTCCTGGATAGATATTCTACCTACACTAAGAGACCA